ATGTTCCAGTTTGGAGAGGCGGCAGTCAACGGACAAGCTATCGCTATTAGCGCATATGGAACGAATCATGGATACTATGCTTCGGGATTTTACAGGTACACACATTTCATCTGGCCTTGCGACGCCGTTGTGCTGATAAATACTCTATATAGCTACCAGGACACAGTTCTTGCTGAACAAGGGAATCAATATTACGGCTTCTGTTTTATCCAAGGCGCTGTGGACTTTATCTTTGGACAACATGCGTTTGCGTTTTTCCAAAGTAACACGATTGCGTCCGTGGGTCCTGGTGCGATTACTGCTGATGGTATGTACGAGTATCTCGTTAATTTATAGGCCGACATCGAACTGAAGTAGTTGTATCTACTAGGTCCTGCGTTTAAAGGGGATAGTTTATGCAAGTCTCGAACGTTCTGCAAAAACGGATAAGCTTTATTTAACTTACCAGGAATGGGATTCCATTTTCTTAAAGAATCAACTTTATTTATGATCATGTACTTTAAAGTACTTTAAGAAGTACATACTACTTATACAACTACTTAAGAACTATAAAATCATGAAATCACCTTGGAAGCGGAGTGTTGTGAACTGTTCAAAGATGACAATCTTAAGAAATCTTTAATAAAGCTATTTCTTGAGAGTACTCTCAAAGCTCACCAGTGGACACGAGAATGCCATGGTTTGAGGTATGATCTTAAAGGAGTGTTTAAGAACAATTTCTTAAGATCAGAAGAATATCACAAACTCACATCAAAGACATCAATCTTAAGGAATTTTTAAGGAGGGTATTCCTTGCCTCTTTTGCACCTAGCGCCACTACAGCACACAAGTCAATCTTGAACCGAGAAGGTGCGCCAACAATCTGTGAGTTGAAAGTCTGTTAGAGCCACCACACCAAGTGGTAGGCAGGGCTCAGGAGTGACAGACAGTGGATTGGTTGAGCCGATGTGGCGCAACGAGGTTGGAGGATGAAAGAAAGAAAGAAGCGAAGTGATGTTAGCGCCCATTTGCATCAACCATGTGATGGGTCAAAGCACCGCCGGCTGTTGTTAGACTAGGGCGCTCCGAAAATACAATAAGAGTCGGCATGGGCTTTGTCCGATCTTATTTTGTCCTTTCAAACAATAGAGTCCATTTGCTGCAGTCGTTGCTGCCGCTGAGCATAAAGTAGACAGAAGTACTTTTCAATGCTTGACACCCGCAGGCCGCATCTCTCTTTCAACCCCCCTCCTGCCTATGTATCGTACAGCCTGAGGTATCATACTTGATGCAAAGTGATATCAAAGTGTTGTTATTAGGAACAGCTGGGACCCACGTTACAGTAGCACTCGGAAATGACAATAAGTATCTCTTCAGCATGGGCCACCCTGAGTCACACCTTTTGTCTATTGTTTGAGCACTCCTTTGTCTTTTCAAACAATAGACAAAAGCATTATTAATGCTCAACCACTTGTTGAATTGCAGCTGTTTTCCCCCATCCCCATCCCCCCGGCCCCCTGCTTGTGAGGATAGTTCTTGGATTCAGCGCGCCGGGCTTGCATGTGGTGACGTGGTCGGCGGCCAACGTCATGAAATGTTGGGGGAAGAGGCGGTGAGCTTCTTATTGCTCTTAAGAACAATTTCTTAATGAATCGTTCTTAAGAAGCAAGTAAGATTTTTTCCTTAATGAATATTTGCGCACAGGGGAATGACTTGTTAACAGCATTGATCTTAAGGAAATTTCTTAAGAATTAAAGAAATAAGTAAAGGATGTTCAGAAATAAAGTATCTTAAGAAATATTTGGTGTGAGGAAATACTACAGGCGACATTAAATACTTAAAGCATGACTTAAAGAATACTTAAAGAATACTTATAGGTTTTCTTAAAGTATATGATCATAAATAATGTTTATTCTTTAAGAACAATTGCATCCCACTGTACAACTTACAATTACTTACATAGTTGTTATCAACGAAGCGACTATCGAACAAAGCGTCGATGCTACAACGGATCTCACTGAGATGGTCTACCTAGGTACCCTTTTCAATATTTTGCTTGGCGTGGTTTGTTTTACTTACAAGACACCTTCAAATAGGCCGGCCTTGGACTGAATTTGCTAGGTAATGCTTTGCTTTTTCTCATTCTCCGTTACTAGTACCTCTAACCATACATATTCTCGCCGGTAGTGTCGCTTTCACTTCCTGCTCTCTCAGCTCTATTATCAACCCCGCAGGCTGGGAAATCTGGTCGACCACAGAGCCTAATACTGAAGATGTTACATTCGCGGAGTTTGACAACACCGGTAAGTTTTTCTTTCTTCAATTGGCATCCCTTGTTTTTTTATGCCTCTCCTAGACTCAGGAGCATCTGGAACACGGGTTTCCTTTTCTACAAAGCTCACATCCACTGCGGGGTACACTGTTGCTGATGTATTAGGAAGTGACTGGACGTCTTGGGTCAATCAGGACTACGTTTAATCGTCAACTTTTTTATCACTATCACAAGTTTCAAGTTATTGTAAGGACTTGTGGGGCAAAAGCTCGTATCAAAAGTTGTATGTAAATATTTCCTAGAAATTTTATAGGTTTCATTTGAAACTCCTTTATATTCTGTACTACTAGTAGTGCTGTGCATAATAGCGTCCCGACACTGGTCTGTACTGACTCTGAATCATCGATCTTGGAAACTTGGACCAGAATTTGGCGTTAATGTGAACACGAGGGGAACTTCAAGGAACCTGCGGATTGACGACAGAACAGGAAAAATCGGAGGCCTACGTAGGTCAACATCTTCATAACATCTTAAGAAGAACGTACACTCACTGTAGTTGAATAGGATTCAAATTGTGACTTCCAATAATTCCATAGATTTTAAACGTCGTGTATTCAATAGTATCTTTGTCAATGAACTTTCCTAATTTAAACGCTCCACTAGAACCTTGGGCAGGCACCAATGTGAGGCGGCTTAACAACTGCAGATTTCATCAGAAACTGGTAACAAAAATTCATACTTCTCACCTGAGCAGATCCCAACTTCGCCAAACTATCAGGGTCGTGCGCAGATGAAAAATTGGCCTGTTTATGTTCGATATACTCTGTAAGTGTTTTCGAAGCGGCGTTGCGATCGTAATGATTATCCATAGCGGTCAACGAGTTAAGAAACACTGAGGATTTTTTGTCGCAACGTTAGAGAAAGTTCTCGACAACTGCTAAACAAGGTTAGTCCACTGCGCATGACTCAACTGAGACTAACGACATCATCTCTCCATCATCTCTTTCCCTTCTTTCTTTCTTATCTCATGCCTCCCAAAAACCCAAAAACGTTGTACTGAATTTGTTCTAATCTATAATGAACCTGCTAATTATCACCCAGGGATCCAAAACACAGTATTGGTTCTACCTCTCGTGGGTTGGGAACAGATTCAGAAGAAGGAACGGTTCATCTTGCGATCCCAAGCAAATGTCAAGTCTCAACCGAAGAGAATGAGGGAAAAGAGTATTAACTTCCTCTCCACACCTTTCATCATCTCTAACCTCGCCTTTTTAGATCAAACAAGAAACTAAGAACGGCAAACGCTGATATCTTTACCAGGTAAGACATTCATTCATCCCACGTTATCTCTCTAACATTATACTAGCCCTGAAAAGATGGCTGTCGGAATCGTTTCCGAGGCGCTGCAGGATGTATTACTTTCCGACTGCTACGAGAACTTGAATAATCGCAAGTACGTACCGGTCAACATTTCTCCACGATACTAACAAGTTCACATAGATACACTGGTAAATATGTCGATTTCAAACACCAAGAATGTGACGAAAGTTTTCGCCTCCTGCATATCATTGACGATTTCACCAAAGATACTAATAACGATTTGTTGTTGCGGTCCGTGTCTATACATATTTGGCTATCCATTTTCTTCGACTAACATATTCCTAGAAACATGAAACATTGGGTATCATTCGAACAGGAATTTCCTTACATCAATACTTCACGCATCGCTATGAACCACCTCTACAAAATGCCTGTGTCGATGGGGTTTCTACAATATGTCCCTCAAGATTCGGCACAACCAAAAGTCGCAAAGGTAATCTCCATTGGTAAAATCAGCCATTGTCGATTAGTCTCTGCAGAACAAATCAACGTCAAAGGAGACTTCAAATCTGTCAAGTCAAATTTCGTTACCTTTCTCAGGAGATGGAACTGGCTCGGGCTTGCGTATGCCATGTCTTCAATCGAAAGGAACTCACCTGCAACGTATGGAAGGGTGAGTTCACAGCAGGAACTAAATTCGGACAACAATGTATGTACCAAGACCTATATTTACTGTCACTCTTTCAACAACATACCTTCAGCGCTCGCAGGCATCGCCAACGCCTCTGCGCGTACTCTTCCAGACGTTCCGGATCCCTCCCTTTTCAGTGCGTATACATTATCTAACGTCTTTCATATGACATACGAAATTGCCCTAGTTCCAATCTACGACATTCGCACTCGCGGATTCACAAGCAATGATCTCAGAAATGATGGTCTAGAGAGCGTACCCTATTTTCGAATGGACGGTAAGCTTGCAGAACTTCCACGAGGTTCTTTGGCTCTAGTTTGTCATACCATCCAACGCTATGAGATCGAACAAATCTCATTTGGAATCCAATGGATCGCAGTACTTGCTACTCCTGACAGTGGAACGAACGCGGATTTTGGGCATGATCACGAAAGAGAATTATCTCCTGATTAAAATCATCTTACCTATTCAAATTAAATATTGTATCATGTATCTTCCTTATTATCTATCTTCCATTGAGCCCGAGTAACCGCCACGCGAGAGCGCTGGCCCACTGCTAGTTCGTTCGCATCGGTCTCTCGACACCCAGTCGTTCGTGTCATCACATAATAGTTTGTCGCGTGGTGAAAGTGTCTTGGCAAAGCCTAGAGAATCGCGAAATTCAAATTGGATCGAAAATCATAGTCAAAGAAGAATGTCGGTGACTCCGAATCGACTTCGAAGCACCAAAAACGCTAATGACCCCGACCCGGATTGAACGGATGACCTTGAGGAAACGCTGCTACACGGATACTGGAATCTCACGCTCTACCGCTGAGCTACGGGGTCACTTAGGTCATTATGAGAATAGCTATTGGTAACAGCAGGAGTTGGATATCGTTGTGCCACTTCGATGCCTTGGTTCGTTTTCAGTCAGCGGAACAGAAAAAAAACGAAACAAATTCCCACCGAGCGCGAGTCCAAACGCCGACCATCCAACCCGATGCTATTCAATGCTGCCTTCATTTATTGTGTGCTCCGGAGCGATACTCCTTCTTTTCTCGCGTCCTCTGATACCCTCTTGCATCTTTTATCTGCTCCAGCCGTAAGCTGATATTGTTATCCATAACCAAAATCGCCTCTAGTAATCCTACATTTCGCTTCAAAGGCGTCATGAGATCTCATACTATACTCCGAGTCGAGTCGAGGAGCTTCAGGCCAGGCCTAGTCGTGTGCGAGTCGAGACTCAATATCAATATTCAATGTCCCAAAGGCATGCTATTATGCGCTCAGTAGTTGCCCCAGCCTGCTGCCGCGTGGGCTTCTAAAGCTCTCGCTAGCCTCACTTACCTGGAATTCCATTAACTTTTGCTAATTGCAAGTAGAATTACTGCAGGGCATTGAAACTTCAAGCTTCAAGGGTTACCAAAGGCTCATCATGCATCAACGAACCATTCGCGATAAGAGATGCAGTTCAAAAGTCAAGATGCCGTTTTTGCAGTACGACTTGTTCAAGCAGACGGAGGAGTGGCCTGTGGTTCCTTCATCTATCATTCGGTTGCTCAAGCGCTCAACGTTCAAGCTTCAAGGCTCTGTTTTACAAATCTACTCCTTCCATACCAAGCGTAATGTATGCTATCGTCCTTCGGCGTGGACCGCTTGAGGTTTCGAGCATCTCACGTCAAACACGTACCGAAAGGATTTCTTTTTCCCCTTTTTCTCGTCCTTGCGTTTGTCCAACAAAGATGGCATCTGTTGAGTGAACACTGGGTAAGGACGGAGAAGCAGTTCATGATTTAACAGTTCCATATCGAGCCAGTTGATGGATGAATAACGACAACATGGTGATGAGGCAAGTTCAAGCTAGAGCTTTGGGAACCGCACTGCGACAAGAAAAAAATCAAGATAGAACAAGTTACAATGTTACTAATGATACATGCTACACAAGTACACAAGACAAGGTGATGATACAATGATTAGGAGTATGATATAGAGTTAAGGGGAGTTATTGTTCCGGACATGTTGAAATCGTTAGCGAAACTTGTCAACTAAGCACGGACATGGCGCCAGTTGGAAGAATCAGGTCCAAGCATAACAGCTCCGGCGCGTTTCCTCGAGGTCCGTCTGAGGGATTCGCGAGTAGGAGCAGGTGTCGTAGTGGGGACCTGTCTAACAGCACCAGCACTGCTCGAGGGCTCAACCTTTCCAAGCATGACCCCACCAGTCATCACACCCGTCTGACCACCCTGGTAAGTGTAGCGACAGATGGAATCCTTGCTCTTGTCAACGGCGACAGGTGCGAGACGACGCTGAGGGCGCGAAAGTAGGTGATGGGAAGGGATCGAGTCGGTATTGATAACATCAGAGTCACCCTTGGCGGACGCCATTCGGCAAGGAGGGACGTAGACAGAAGTCTTTTTGGGCACTGTAGGAAGATCACAGGACGCAGAGATGGGTGACGAAGAAGTGGATGATACCGAAGTCATGGATTCGTCTGATGAAGCTTCTGAAAAACCAGTCGACGAGGTAGTGGACTCGGTGTCCGAATCACTCTCGGAAATAGTGTCGTCGTCATCGGTTTGCGTAGGGAAGGAAATAAGTGTAGGAAGGGCAATAGGCAAGGACTCAGGCGCTGCGGAAGCGCGCTCGCGAACAGCTAGCATGTCTCGTAATTTCGAGAGCATAGGCCTGGCCACTCCAGTTTTGGTCTTTGAGATCGATGGAACCTGGACAATATCTTCAGACCACAAAGTGATAGGCTCTCCGAACTCTCCAATACGAAGTGTCAAGCTCCCTTCCATGACGAAGATATACATGACTTGATTTCCCAGTGCACGAATCCATTCAGGCCACGCAATTCCGGCCTGTAAACAGGCCGCGTATATGGGAGTTGGAGGAAGACAAGCCGGAGAGAGAAGAAGGGTAAATGGAGAAACAGGCTGGTGTATACACACAAGGTTGGCATGTAAGAATGATTGGAGCTGGGCGATAGCTTGTGCAGGGTAAACTACCGCCAACGGACGCGTCAAGAGCATTACAAGCTGGGAAAGCGTGGCAGATTCGGAGGAGTTGAACATGGGCGAAATGGGCATCGTCTAGTAAGCGTAGAAAAGTTGGGAACGTGGATAATATCGCTCTGCGATGTAAAAGGTCGTAATTGGAGAGTCTACGAGACAAAAACATCATTAAAACCGCCGAACAGTGGAGACATAACACACATACCGAAGAGATGTAAAAGAGACTTGCAGTTATGGATACACAAGAGAGATGAGCTGGAGCAAAGCAAACGAAATTGGACTATACACCGAAGAGATGTAGACTGAGGTTTCCATGTCCGTACCCCTTGCTTTTATACGCATTAGAAGAACAATGCTGGCGAGAACAATGAGTGTCAACGCACAATGGGCGCTTCTTGTGATCAAGATGACCACGTGAGAGTGGGCGCTAAAATACTTTGCGCCTGTCTTTTTTTGTTGGTAAGCAATTCACCTTGATTTGTACGTCTTTTCGCAACCAACTTGACCAACTTGAAGAACAGATGAACTCCAGGGGCGATTCCGAACGTCACTGTCGAAAATGCAAAGTGGGGTCTCCCACTCCTCGTGTCTCACCCGACACCATAACTTCTATGCGGAAATATCTGCGCCTCGAAGGAGCTATATCTGATTACCAAACGAAGGACGTAGTCCGGACTCTGGATGACATTCAAAGTGACATAGCCGATTATTCCACTGAAATATCGCGTCTCGAAGCGCGAATTCTGACATTAAATGTCAAACGCAACTTTCTTGAGCATTATGCAGAGCCAGTGGGTCTTTCAATTCTAGCTCCCATTCGCAAACTCCCCAGTGAAATTCTCTCTGAGATCTTCGCTCAATGCGGCTCGTATGGCAACTCTATTGCTCGGAAAAAGTCCTTTGATATGTCGAGGCAACCTGCATGGGCTGTGAGCAGTACGTGCTCAAGATGGAGGCGTATAGCGCTTTCTTGCAAGCCGCTTTGGTCCAATATCCGCCTTGATCTACACGGCACTCATGTGGCTTCCTCCAAAGCGGAATATTTTGCTGTTCTCGCATTAAATAGATGTCTCCATCTGTCCCATCCTCATCCGCTGACTCTAAGGACAAAGAGTTCTCTATCTGACGTGACACAGACCGGGATGTCTTTGGTACGGTCTTTGATTCTACATGCTGATAGATGGCAAGATCTCACCATCGTCAACAATGAATCCCAAGTAGAGGTCCTTCCTTCTGACATACGGTCGTCGATTCAACTCCCGCTCTACAAACACTCAGTATTGAAACCCCTCATACCATGCTGGGTCTACAAGCATTTGAGCGCGCGCCAAAGCTTCGACATTTCACACTGGATGGAAGACTACCGAACCCTCCGGTTCCATTCCCATGGAGCCAACTCACGAGCATCAATTTCCAGTATTTCCATGGCCCTGTATTTGCTGCGCTCGGTGCATGTAGCAACCTCAAATCTCTGACCATAAACGCAGATCATTCGGAACGTGATTCTCCTTCCAGGAACTCTGCTTCACTGCCCGTCAAGCTACCCAGTCTGCGATATTTGGAGATCGCTGCAGCAGGGAATGCGACCACGGTAGACTATGATAGCCTCACATTGATTTTCACCTCTCTCACCCTTCCCTCCCTTGCCGAGCTTATGGTCTACAACTACGACAATGATCGATTCCTTGGCAAATGGCCACAGCGCGATTTTGAAACTTTCGTTCGTCGCTCACAGTGTGAGATTACTTCACTACATCTGGACGAGATGCCCTTATCGGATACCCAGGCACTCAGTTTGCTTAGGGCTCTGCCTACTATCTGCACGTTGACAATTGAAGACTCGCGACTTATGCTGAAGAATGATAAACAGGTGACGATCACGTCGACGTTGGTTGAAGCTCTTGGTGTCTTCAACGGGATCAGGAATCCGTTTGAGACGCGAGGCGTAGAGGTGCTGCTTCCGAACCTTGAATCTCTGGTATTGCGGTCTCGAAGCACACCTTCCACCGATTTGCTAGATGATAAAATTCTAGTAGATATGATCAAATCCCGATGGGTACCGGATACAACATTCGCCTCGATAGCCAAAGTGAAGTGTTTAAAATCTTGTTCAATTACGTACGTCTCTGGTGAACGGAAGATAGATAGTTCAGCCGAGAAAACTCTGGATTGCTTGGTAGATGATGGCCTACAATTTTCTTGGGAGCGGGAGAAATGTAGTTGAGGGAATAGGAGCCGTTACTCATGCCTACTTTGAAGTCTAGTTTGTACGGTATTTCCAACCTTTTCCTATCATGCTTTTATACGCATTAGTAGAACAATGCTGACGAGAACCAGTAAAACTGGCATTTTACTTTACATCACTTTTATATTACTTGTTCTCCAGCCTGGTTCATCAGGGTTTCATAGCGATAGAGATCAACTGGCGAACTTATAAACAATGGGCGCTTCTTCGTGTTTTTTTTTGTCAATGAGTTTGAGCGCTTATACTAAATACAGACTCGAACTACCATTGTCCTTGGTGAACATATTCCTTTAAAGCAAGCACTTTGCGTTGATTGTATGTCTTTTGCAACTAACTCGAAAAATAGATGGACTCCAGTGACAATTGCAAACATCTATGTCAAAAATGCAAAGAGGAGCCTCCCACTCGTGTCTCAGCCGACTCCATAACCTCCATGCGAGAATATCTACGCCTCGAAGGAGCTACATCTGATCATCAAGCTAACGATGTAGTCAGGACTTTGGATGACATTCAAAGCGACATGGACAATTATTCCACCGAAATATGGCGCCTTGAAGCCCGAATTCTGTCGTTAAATGTCAAACGCA